GGAGCTCCTTCACTGCAGTGCTGACCTTCAGAGGTCGCCTGAGTGCACTTAACTCTAAGTGCTGCCCTTCTCCTCTGGAGAACAGTGAGCTTTCTAAAATATGAACCTTCTACATCTTTTTATATGAATGTTTGAAGACCACACCTCTCTAAGGGTATTTAGGTTTATGCAATATTTAGTACATGCTGTATTATCGATGATTAAATCAGCATCACACTATCATTGTAATGATATGATTCAATATGATCTAGGAGTTCAGACCCTAATGTCAATCAATTTTTTGAATATCTACTTATTTTCCTCATTATGATATTAATTCTGGTTACTGCCAACAATTTTTTCAACCCTTTATCGGATGAGAAGGTGTAGGAATCATATCCTTCTTACAAATTCGCTGATGATAAGGTTGAGCAGATGCTAAAACAGCAGCCCTGCAAGCAATTCTGCACACCTGCATTGGCAATATTGGCTTTATTTTAGCTACAGCACGATTCTTCTTATTCTCCAACACATAAGACTTTCAACAAGCATTTATTCTAAATCTCGCCCCCGACTCCCTTTCATTAATTAGCCTTCTCTTAGTAGCAGCAGGAAAATCAGCTCAATTCTTTCTCCATGTCTGACTTCCATGTGCCACAGAAGGCCCAACACCAGTCTCAGCTCTGCTCCACTCCAGCAGTGTAGTTGCAGCAGGGGTTTTCTTGCTTATCGGCTTCTACCCTTTCACAGAAAATAACCCATTAATCCAAACGTTTACATCATGCCTAGGGGCTATTACCACCTATTTACAGCAATCTGTGCTCTAACAGAAAATGATATTAAAAAATTGTTGCATTTTCCACCTCAAGGCAACTGGGTCTTATAATAGTCACAATTGGCATTAATCAGCCATATCTAGCATCCCTTCACATCTGCACCCATGCCTTTTTAAAGCTATATTAATTATATGGTTCAGGATCCATCATCCATAATCTCAATGATGAACAAGACATTCAAAAAATAGGAGGATTACTCAAAACTTTACCCTTCACCTCCTCTTCTCTTATTTTGGTTAGCCTAGCACTTACAAGTATGCCTTTCCTCACAGGCTTTGACTCCAGAGACCTTCTTATGAAAATGAGAAATACATCATATGCCAGCACCTGACTTGGCATATGAGAAACCTTCTAAGACTACGAGAAACCTTCTCATAGTCTTATAGCCACCTCCTTGACAGCTGTCTACAGTAACCAGAGAATTTTCTTAGCTCTGATATGACAACCTCACTTATCAACTCTGATTATCATTAATGAAAATAACCTCTTTTTGATTGACTCAATCAGGTACCTAACAATCGGCAGTATCTTTGCTGGATTCCTTATCACCAAGGGTATTCTTCCAGCTTCACCTCCCCCAACAATTATACCACTTCACCTAAGGATTGCAAACCTTGCTGTGGCTCCTTGTCTTTGTTTTGAGAGCCATGGTGGTTCTCGGCTATACTTAAACTATGTGAGACAGACACCTCCTCCAGTTTATAGTGGAGCCAAAAAAAAAAAAAAAAAACCTGAGAGATTTAATGAGGCTGTGTGAGGACACTGGGCATAGGAAGTATAAAGGACTAAAGCCATGTGTTCTGGCCTTGACGTTTTCCCCAATCACCCAGGTGGGAACACACTCAGGACTCAACTTTCCTTTTGTTCAGTCATGATGGTCAAGTGTCTTTAAATAAGCTCCCATAGCTTAGGGAGGTCTAGCTTCAAGCTTAACAGGTTCAATGAAAGGTTTTACATTACTGAATATCTGTGAGAAATGAACCCTGATTTCACGGGGTTGAGAATATTACAGATTATATAATGTCTTCACATTTTATTCCACCTTTATTTTATGAGTGTGCTCCATTTTTTTAAATCACTTTCTCTTTTTTTGAAGACATACGTTCATTTTTAAGTCGTCCTTCATTCTGCAGCTATGCTCCAAATTATTTTATCACTTTCTCCCTCTCACTTTTTTTTTTTTTTTTTTGGAGACATGGGTATCTCACTTTACTATATAGTTCTGCATTCTCTATCTCCTTATTCTTTCAAATGTATATAGGATTTATACTATCTACTCCATAAGTAATTTATATTGCCTTTGATTTAGTAATTTATATTGGTTTATTACAGTTTGTGTTTCTGTAACAGAATGCTTGGGGTCAGGTAATTTTAAAAGAAAGAAGTTTATTATGCTCACAATTCTGGTGGCTGAAAGTCTACCATTGGACAGCTGGACCTGGTGAGGGACTCAGACTGAGTTCATTTATGGAAGGGAGTGGAGAAGGAGCAGGTGGGTCCAAAGCGACCACACAGTGAGAGAGAAAGCAAGAGAGAGGAACCAGGAAGACAGACTCCTTTCCACAGTATGTTCTCTGGAACAAACTCATTCCTGCTAAAGCTAAAATTCGCCACCCATCTCACCCCACAACATGAAGGCATTAACCTATATGTGAGGGATTGATTCCCATGACCCAAACACCTCCCAGTAAGCCCTACTTTTCAACACTGCCCAATTGGAGATCAATTTCAACATGTGATTTCACAGGGACAAGCCAAACCATGGAATTTATGATGGTTTAAATGATGACAGTCTCCATAATTTTATATCTGATTTTCTCATTCCCTATCACTTTATCTTTCTTTTGTTTGTACTGAAGACCCAGGTGAAGTTTCAAAATCAGCAGTATAAAATAAAATTTTGCTGTCATTATTTGAAACCTAAAAGTGATGGGATTAGACTGTGAATCTGTGATTCAATCTTTCTCTTGATCTTGTTGGCATTGTCACTTCAGCCAGACCTCACAATCTAGTAGAAGTTACAGACACACAAAACAATAATCTCAGTACAACATGATAATTGCCACAAATATCCATCTATTAGGCACACAGAATCAAAGATCAACTCTGGATGAGTCTTGAAGGATGAATGGAAACTTTGCTGGTGAATAAACAGTAACAGTGGTCCAGGTTCAGAGACATGCCTGTCTAAAGGAGGGCAAAGACATTTTTTAACAACTCAATAAAAGCAATGCCAGAATGACCCATAGGAGGGAGATTTTAAAAGAAATGTATGAGGAGCTGAAGGAATGCACTATAACCCAGATGTGGGGCTACTCCTGGCACTGACTGACGATGGGGCATCAGGATGTTGAACATTCAGGAGCATCGGTGTTTTTCCTCTTTCCTGAAGTGCATTCTTCCTTTCGTTTCTATTATTTGTTTCCAGAAACACATTTGCATAACTAATCCAACTTCCTGTATTTTACCAGAACAAAGGTCTCTCTTTATCCGCCAGCCACAAAACGGGGAATGGTCAAGGTAACAGCCCCATAAATATTCCCCATCTAAAGTCAATGACATACTTTGTTTTTTTGAACATTTATAAAATAGTGAGTGATTTGTTTACATTAGGTTAATTTGAAGACACGGCAAAGTTGGGAGTTTTGGAAAAGTACAAGGCACTCAGAAGGCCTACATGAATAGTTTCCAGCCACTTAGAGACATCAGAGGAGTTCCTGCCAAGGGTGCACTGACCTTTTTCATCTCACTGTCCTAGAATTACTGGGTCTGTCTCTGGTCATCTTGAAGGATATGGATCATCCCTTCCTTCCTCTACTCCAGTATCCTGCGCATCTTCCTCAATGGTTTTGCCATGTTGTGTTCATAATGATTGTCCAGTTGATACCAAATCTTGAAAAAAAATTCCAAAAGAATATTTAATTCGTTTTTGGTCTCGATAGTCAATTGCCCTTTTACACGAATCTGGGGCAGATCTAAGAGGCTCGTGAGATCTCATGTTTTATAGGACCCCGATCTCTGAATGTAGATCCTCAATGTCCACTTCTTAAATATATATTCCATCCCACATTCTTTTCCTATGATGTAACTTCAAGACTGATACTGTTGAGTGTTCTAGTCCCTTTACTTTATGTAGTGTTGTGACTATTGCTGATGTTTTAGTCTGCAGCATAATAGCACTTCTCCTGACTGTGGGAATCTTCACTGTGGAAAGTTAACTACCATGCTGTGAGCAAGCTCAAGTGGCTACCTGGAGAGGTCGTTTAAATATATTCGAGGTAACAGCCCCAACTAAGGAACCCCAGACATCAGTCAGAATTATCTGCTAGACGGGAAATAGAATATCTGTTGCCATTATTTAATGGCAAGTGATCATGAAAATGACCATTTGGTGGGTAGATAGACTCAATTGACTCACTAGAATCTGAGTTTTCATCAGAACTGGGTTTTGCTTGTTTTGTCTTGTTTTCCTGTTACTAATATGTTCCCACTGTAACATGATGATTATGTCTCAGGTCTAGCTCATCAGTGAGAATTCACAATCTGTGTGAATTGTAAGTATAAACACATTTTAAAGCAGACAGTCTGCTCATCTGTCTATTGTTCCCTGGATGATGCTGTTTGCTTTATTGAACAGCTACAGAAATCAATGTGGGTTAAACCTTTTGGGTTCTTGCTCGGGCATTGCTAGCAAGTTCTCAGAGAAGCGATACGCTGCACCATTTGGCCCATGTCTGTAGATGGCTATTCTATCTAGGTTTTTGTAAGTTCACTCTTGTGTTCACACAGTGTAAAAATTACTTAATAATGCATTCCTCGGAATGTATTTTTGTCGTTATAGAACGCATGACTGTTAAATCCCTATTTTTGCCCAAAGAGTCAGTGAAAATTTTAGGTGTAAAATGAATTTTCCCCCTAAAGTGATGAGGTGTAGAATTTGCTGTTATCAATAGGAGGGAGCTCTCACACTTGCAAATACAGCGTACAAAATCCTGTCCATCCATGATGCGCAAAATGTGTTCCGGCATGAGATCATTCAGCTGGAATCACACACCCACGTATTTCCAGAATTCCATCCCATACATTCACAAAGCAGTTGGAAATCACAATATACATTTTAGGTAATGGGCCATCAGAGATTATTTTAATTGTAAGAAAGTGCACAAAAATATTTTGCATTTTATATATTTTTTATTTAACTGTAATAAAGTGAGAAGAAAAAAAAAAAGCCTGAACAGTATGATTCCTTGCTTCAACAGTAGAGGGCTCCCTTGTACAAGCAGTTCCCACACAGTCAGGTTTCTTCGTCCTGATCATCTGTGGCCAGTGTACAAGAAAGGACTGGCAGGGAAATTTCAGGAGCCAGCTGGGTAACGCCATATGAGGGAATTCTTGGTGACGTTAAAAAAACTCACACTTCCACTTTCAAAATCCGGAAACATACCAACCCAGGCCAGAGTTTCTCTACATAGTGAGGAAGCATTGGAGAGCTGGTCAAGAGACGGAAATGATGATCCACCTTCACACATAAAAGAAGAAATATGTCCTCAGATGTAATCATGGTGCCATTCTTCCTTATCTGGGACTCCTTACAGACGCCCAGAGCCCAATCCCAAGAGTCGTCCACATCCAGCTCCCAGGAGTGTTTCCCAGAGGAGAAGCCCCGGACTCCCCATGCAGCAAAATAGTCAGGTCTGTCAGAATCCAAAGATCTACCTTCCTGTTCAGGTCTAAACATCCAACTTCTCACATCCTCAAACAGGCTGATATTGTGATTGCTTACTTCATAATTGAAGGAAATTTCCACTGTAGAAAAAAAGAGAATGTTCCAGTGAAAAGCAGTTTATACATTCTTAGGTTCAGATAAGAAAGAGACTCTCACTAGAAAACACAGGTCAAGATTAAAAGGCAACTTTTGTCTGGAAAAATGTTGGCATCAGAGGGTGTTAGGATATCTGCACAAGTACATGGTTAAACTACAATGATCACAGCTTCTATAAACTCAAATATGGAAGGGGAGGATTGTCATGCCTACGTCTAGTCAGCTACTTTTTATAACAACTGAAAAACTGGAAGCTCTTGCACTGCAGCCAAGTCTGTAGCAATAAAATATATGTCCATTGCCTCTTCCCTGTCAGGGCAGAGCAGGAGGCTGGGGACAGGAGATGAGGTGGGGAGCCATTCTTACACCTTAATAAGTTATCACTACTTTGCCAGAAATATGATCTGCCACTTAAGCAAGCAAATTCATACTTAAAGAGAAAATCTGAATCCATCTTCTGAAAAGCACAGATTCCTTGCAAGAATTATCTGACTTTCATGCTGGATTTCGGCACAGACTTCTTTTATCTGCCTATCGATCATGATCTGTCCTGGAGTTCTGTCTAAGGGCTCAGCAACCACCAAATCACTTTCCTATTGTTTGCAGATCCTCAGATTTGCATTGTTATTTAAGTTGCTCATGTATGTTTCGGTTGATTAAAATGCACAAGATTAAAATTACAAATGCTATGAAACTTCACCTGAAATGTACTTAAAAGTGAACACTGTCACCAAATCACAATCATTAACAGCACTTAATTTGAAGTTGAAATGTCCTGAATTAACTCAGTTCTGTATACCTCACATAATACTTGTATACATGAAATTGTGTCAGAGAATGTTTCTAAGTCCTAAGGAGCCATTCTGCCTGTTTTATGTTTTTCTAAGTAATTTGTTATATGGCCGATTCTTATGACATTTTACCAGCTTTTAGTTTAGTCTGTTTGATGATAGCGAAACTATAAATATAAAGACCTATTCACAGACTATTTTCTTCCAGATGGAATATCATTACACTAGGAAAACTGCCCATAGAAACCATATTTGAAGACATTACATGTTAATCCCAGCAAGAGGGCAACACTCACCTCGGAAGCAGTTGAGCCTGTGTACCAGTGCAGTGATGGGCCCTGCAGTGAACACTGGATTCACAGGCTGGGGCATGCGCAGCAGCACAGACTCACTCCTGCAAGGAAGCAGGTGCAGTTGGTTAACCTTTCTGGTGTCTGTGTTTAAGAAATAGATTCCAACAGGAAATGCTTCATTCACACCCACTTCTGATACTGTAATGTAACTCCACAATCCTAGCATGGGTTTGTGGCTCTCTTAGGGAATCTTTCTAAGGATTCACTTCATTTCTAACCTACTGCCACTGAAACATAATTGCCTCCCTCCCTATCTGCCACCAAATAGTTTATTTGTCTCTAATTACAATTCTGAATCTTAAAATTAGGCAACTATATCCTAGTAACTTCTGCATTGAACTCTTCAAAACATTACCCCGAGTCACTTGGGAGAGTAAGAAAAGATTAAAATCTGATACAGGGCATAAGAAAAGATATTCAACATAACACACAAACACCTGAGTACACACACATACACACACAATCACACTGACACATTGTGTTGTTAACAAATTATGTTTCCACTTTGTTGAAAATAGCTTGATGTTTTTCATAGCATGCCTTGTGCTTCAGCTTGCAATGATGGCTAAAAACATACCTTGCCATGATGTCTCCAAAATCCTGTAAAGAGAGATAAAAAAAATACTTCTTTAGAAAGTTGCTATGCTGGCTGGGTGTAGTGGCTCATATCTGTATTTCCAGCACTCGGGGAGGCCAAGGTGAATGAATCACCTGAGGTCAGGAGATCCTGACTAGCCTGGCCAACATGGCAAAACCCCATCTCTGCTAAAAATACAAAACAATTAGCTGGGTGTCATGGTGCATGCCTGTAGTCCCAGCTACTGGGGAGGGTGTGGCAGGAGAATCACTTGAACACAGGAGGTAGAGGTTGCAGTGGGTTGAGATTGGGCCACTGCACTTCAGACTGGGTGACAGAACAACACTGTCTCAAAACAAGGAAACAAATGAAGAAACAAGTTGTTATTCTGCCTGTCTAGTCTTTAGGTTTTGAAAACTTTAGAAGTACTACATAATATCACTGCAGCTCTTTTAGAAGGTATTCTCATTTCTAACATTTATACATTGACGAAATGTATTTCTGATAAATTCAGGACCCAGGATATGAGTGAGAGAGAAAGGTTGAGTGGTGACTGTGCATTGCTGCAGCTGTCTACAATGTGGTCTTTTTCAGGGCTAGTGTCTGAGGGGTAAAGTAGCTCAAGTCAAGGGCATTTCAAACCTAGGACTGCCCCAAAAAAAGGAAGAAGAAAATATTAGTTTCTCCATAATTTCTATGTATCATCCGATGGAGACAAAAATATTATTTTCACATGAAATTTTTTTCTTCCAGAGTTTTAATGAAATGAACTGGAGAAGAAAGCTTGAGGTAGAAAATGTTCTGTGGAAATCTATTTGCACAGCTCCATAAAGCTTTGTTTTATGATTAGGTTAGGAGTTGTGAGTTTATCTCTATAACTAGGTGGGAATGTCTCTCACCATCAATACAGGAGATAAAGAAGTATGTCTTTGGTACCCAGTGAAAGGCAAATGTCAGCTAATACAAAGTGTCTCAAGGGACATCCTCAGTTCTTACCTGGAGCAGCTCCGCATCTGGTTTATGGCACATTGCCATTAGTTCCCGGTACATTTCTTTCAAGTGTTTCTTCTTTTGATACATGTTGATGCAACTTCTCTGGAGTTCTAATTAGCACTGTCTCTTACCTGGTGGTCTTCAGCTGCCCCTTCAATTGGATGGTGCTTGTGAGCCCCATGCTCCTGAGAGTTAGAGCACAGTGAGCAGAGCAGACTCTTGTCTGTGTCACAGAACATCTTCTTTGTTTCCCTATGGGTCCCACATAATTGTTTCTCAGAGCTCAGGAATTGCCAGAGACTGGCTTTCCTGGCAATCGTCACTAAATTCTTCAGAAAAATGTTAGTTTTGAAATCCATTTGGTGTGATGGTTCCCTGCATGCAGGGCAGTTGGCAGGACTTCGGGCTCCTTCCCAGGAAAGGCAGAGACAGGGTCTACAGAAGCTGTACCCACAGCCTATGGTGACAGGGTCTACCAGGTTGTTCAGGCAGATGACATAGCTGAGTTCCTTCTGGAAGGCCTGTGGGAAGTCTGAGTCTATTTTTCTAAGGGAAGAAAACCACAAGAATTTAATCTTCTACCCTGGAGAGACAAAGATCCAAGCAAAGTTTGCATCAGGTTGTGACTGAATAACACCTTTTTTTTTTTCTAGAGAAGAATAGGCTTTCGTTTGCAATGACAGAAATAGGAAAAATAGAAAACGAAGGCACTAAGAGCCATCAACCTCTGTAGAAAAATGTGATTGTTCTCCAATCAACACACAACCAGCTTTCCAAACGCTACTTTTTGCATAGAAGAATGTCAGATTTTTTGAGGTGTTAGTGTCCACCAAGTTGCTTGGGCTTCTAGGATTTCATCAAGCTATCAACTCATGGGGTGAGTCTTGAATGGTCTGAAACTCAGTCACACTCTGAATCACCAGTGACTGGTTTAGAGAAGGGAAGCTAACTAAGCTCTTTTACTCTCATTGTTTGATTTAACTGTAACAAGGATCCATCGGAGTTTTCCAGAGGGCCCCTGTTTGAAAATGTTAGAGCAGAGCTCATCCTTTGACCAAAATCAGACCAAGCTAGCCTTTACTCTACAAGGCGAAAGAAACAAACCAAGGTAAACGTACTTCTCCAAGATAGAACAAACAATCATTTTTTAGGCTGCTGTGTTCATTCAATCAACAAAAACTTGCTGGCATGTTTACTATTCCTAGACTGTTAATTTGGGGATATATTGGTAAAATGTAGAAGTGTACACAGAGGATAGAAATATTTTCTAAGCCTTTTGGAAGCATTGCCATTACCCTTTCACACAGTCGGAAAAATACTAAGTATCATGCAATAATAATAGGCACTAGACAGTAAGGCGGTATTTTAAATGGAAGGAAAAAAAAAGTAGGTTAGGCAAGGTAGCTCAAACCTCTAATCCCAGCATTTTGGGAGGCCAAGTCAGGCAGATTTTTTGAGCTCAGGAATTCTAGACTGGGCGTCATGATGGCAAAGTGTCTAGATCAGCCTGTCTCTAAAAATACATACATACATACATACATACACTCACACACACACACACACACACACACACACACACACACACACTATATATAGACAGATAGATAGATAGATTATATATGTAAAGCCCAACATGGTGGCCCATGCCTATAGTCCCAGCTACTTTGGGGATGAGGCTGAAGAATTGCTTGAGGTAGGAATTAGAGGCAGTAGTGAGGCTTATTTCCACAACTGCACTCTAGGCTGCGTGTCCCTATCTAAAACAAACAAAAAAGAAAGAAAGGAAAAATCTAAAATCCTGGTTTCTACACAGTATAAATACAGAACCCCTCTATTTCTGATATTTCTGCATGGCTGCCAGTGAGACTTTTCTGCATGAATACCCATTTCTGACTTTCTTCGACAGAGTAACTGAGGTTTCTGAAGAGACTTTTACTGCGTTTTAGAAAGAAGTGTTTGCCCAAATCATTCAATGCAATCTACCTGTGTATAGCCATACATTGCAACATAGGCACATTTTCACTGGTAGAGTAGAATGTAACACATTTATACACATAGATTACAATACCCCTAGCCCATTTACAGAGTCTAAGAGATTAAAGAATTACTAGATATTTGCAAACTACTGCAAAATGCTTATAATCTACAAAACAACTAAGAAATAGGTTAAGTAAAATATTAATCATAACATTAATTTGAGGATCATGCAGCAAGACAGATGACAAAGATGTTTAATTTGTAAATTGGTTAAATGGAGCTTGTAAACTTATGGATTATGTTTAAAATAATTTAAAAAAATAAATGGAGCTGTTTATAAAACTCAGAAAATGACATCTTTTCATCTAAAAAAAGTCTAAGTTTGCAGATAAAGTCCCCAAATTTTGTTTGCTTTGGTTTGTAACCTAATAGCAGCTCCTACTCTGCAAAGTGTATACTTACCTCAGAAATAGATCTACGCCTCACCAAAGCTTGCTGTCCAATAAGATGAAGTCAGCTCAGGCATCAGGGTCTCCCAGTGCAGTGGCAGTAGCTTTTAGAAGTCTCCAAGGCCAGTTGCAAAGCCTCTCTGTGGGTGCTGGAGAAGAATGAGCTTGGCTCCCGAAGTGTCTTTTTATACATCTCTGAAGACCACACCTCTTTCCTCTAATTGACTGGATTTCAGGGGGCGTAGTGGGTGTTAACATAGTTGATTAAGTTTCTTCCAAACAAAAGTGTTTTTGTTTTTGTTTTTGTTTTGAGACGGAGTTTCACTGGTTACCCAGACTGGAGTGCAATGGCACGATCTCGGCTCACAGCTACTTCCGCCTCTGAAGTTGAAGCAATTCTCCTGCCTCAGCCTCCCAAGTATCTGGGATTACAGGTGCCCGCTGCCAGGCATGGCTAACTTTTTTTTTTTTTTTTTTTTTTTTCATTTTTAGTAGAGAGAGGGTTTCACCGTGTTGGCTAGATTTATCTGGAATTCCTGACCTCAAGTGATTCGCCTGCCTTGGCCTACAAAAGTGCTGGGATTACAGCCTGAGCCCCAGCCCCCAGCAGTTCACTTTTATCGTTATGTAAGAATTTAATCTAAGGACACTCCTCTCCTCCCCACTCCAGAAGGGTTATTTCTCCTGCTCATAGTGCTCCAGATGAAGCCTTCCAAAGGCTGAGAAGCAGCCGTGGGACATAGGATTCCCTCCTATATTACCTGGCTCTGCTCATCCCAGCTCAAGGGGTATAGGGAGAAACTCTAGAAAGCTCTAGCCAGGTGCGGTGGTAGGCACCTGTAGTCCCAGCTACAGTACACGCCGAGGCAGGAGAATCGCCTGTGCCTGAGGTGGAGGTTGCAGTGAGCAGAGATCGTGCCACTGCAATCCAGCCTAGGTGATACAGTGAGATTCTGTCTCCAAAAAAACATAAATCAATAAAGAAATATAAAAAATGAAAATTGATGATTATAAATACAAGAAGACATTTATGACAAAATATAAAATAAGCAGAAAGCATATAAAATTGTAAATAGAACTTCATTACTTTAACAAATATAGAAAAAATTAAAG